CGACAAGAGCGAGACCAAATTAGACAAGAGGAGGCGGCGGCAGCCAATAGCAGGCATGAACAAATTATGGAGACTCACAGAGCGGATCCAGAAAACTCGAGACAAAACCGGAAAGCTGAAAGAGAGGATAGGAAGGCGGAGATGGAAGAAAACCACAGGGGGTTCGACAAGCAGATGGAGCTGGACAGATCCGAGGCAAGACAGCGTCACGAACAAATGATGCTACTGATTACATCCATGGTTCAGAAGAAGCAGTAGCATCTAAGTCGAAGTTGAGTACAAATACATGATACTCACACTTTTCATTCGTATTGACGATCTTCTGGACCATACATGAACGTTGTACGAATCTCACTGATACCTACGGTTCGTACACGATAGTTAGCTAGTCGAAAAAATTATCGAGTCTACGTCGACGAAGATCTTGATTGTAAGATAGAGGCAACAGCAAACGATGATAGACTTTTTCTATCGATCCCATACCCCATTCCGCTGCTTGGCGAATAGAGGTGATAGCTACAGACAGCGACTTAGCTACCTCACGAACAGAAGGGAGCAACCGGTTCAGGTCTCCTTCTTTGAGTGGAGTTAAAATTCACCCAGTCATTTCGTCGGCACACGGAAAAGCACTGTCAGCAACTACACCAAAACGGCAGTCGGGGTTAAGCTCCGGATCCACGAGCCGACTTCAGAACTCGAGACTCATATCTCCGTCGTTCCAGCTACCTGGATAGTTGTGCTTCGCCCAGACTATAAGACCATCGGCAGCAAAGCATAAGGTCCCAGTGACGAAAACGTCATGTAGCCAGCCGTTGTAATGAGCATTTTGCAAATCCGCATTTTAAGGCTGTAGAATCTGTTTTGGCCTAATACAAGGATCTCACTAAGTTAACTTAACATATGATAATGCCTTACCCGGTAGTTCTTTCCGTCCAATCGACTGGACGGCCACCCTTGGGACTGTACAAGTCTATGGTGTAATGAGGCATAAAGCGCTCAAGTAGACGGCAAAAAGAGGCCCTGCGTAGTATACTGTTAGCTCGTGTACTTCTTCTCTCGTCAAATACGTTACCGTGTAAGACTAGTAAGCGCGAGGAAGTTTTTTTTATCTGTGCCATGCTTCCATACATTCATCCACGGCGAGTCCTCCGGGGTCCTTGATGCACTCCAGCGTCAGGTAATGGCGCATTCTCACCGCTCTAGACCATTCCCAACGACGTCTTTCGGCTACAATCTTTTGTCTTAGATCTTCTACAGTCGCAGAAGCTCGCTTTCTCGTCTTAAGCAAAGTGTATAACACCAACGCCTTTGAAGCGTCTGTGTAGTCCATGGCGCGTAGTAAGTAGGTGCAGGTTGGTTATGAGTCCATAACGCGAGGACTGACAGCCTGCCAGATGCTCGCCAAATGAGGAACAAGTACCTGTTGCAAGGATGGAGGAGACAAGATTTCGAACGTCTGCAGTGTCTTTAAATTTAGCATTTTCTTCATAAATTTTGTCCTACAGATATTGTCACAGTCAGTACGTGCATATCGAATTTAAATAAATTGTACCAGCAGGGACAAATTGGACCGGCCATCGTAATCTTTTTATGATGGTTTCGGTAGTCGTTTTTGGCCTATTGATCTGGTGCTGTTTTTTTATTGGCTGTTGAGGGACAGAACCGGAGAAACACAGAAAAAAAGGTTTGGCACACAGAATATGGGCGAACACATAAAAGATGTGTTCGCCACACCAAGCTAATGAAGCACCACATGCACCATACATATGGCACACACATTTTGGTATGGACACACAAAATCTGGGCTAATGCACACCACTGGATTCTAGCGAATCGTGTCGGAGAAACAAATTGAGTTTCCTCCAATCCGAATGGTTCGTTGATCTCAGGACCCAGATAGAATATGCGGATTGCAGTACATTCTCGAAAACGCAACACCTTCGAACCTCCCTCCAGCCCTACCCATCTCGATCTACGATGACCCCAAGATACGTGTGGAAGACCGTTTGTAGCGACATGGCTCGCGAAAACTCCCAGCTGGTCATGGAAGACATGAAGATATTCATCATTGTGAAGCGTCAGCTGGTCCCATGCTCCGTATGCGCTCTGACAAGACCGCATAAGATGCGATACCAGTTGTTAAGGTGTTCCTCCGAAACATGCAAGACGACAGCACCGTATGATGCTTGCCAGTGGCTGGGAAAGGTTCTTACCTGTCAAGAACTCAACCGAGTGACAATCGTGGAGTCTGGTACTCATGAGACCCTCGTCCGAGAGCGACGCCAGCCGCAGCTGACGCCACGACTGAAAGACTACGGTCGCGAAATGGCCACTCAAGGTCTGAAACCAGCCCGAATTCGCATGGGTATGGCGCGGCGATTCGGGTTATCCGAGGCGGATATGCCAACTCTGCGCCAAGTGCAATGGTTCATCAGCCACTACACGAAGAAGACGCTCCACTGAAATGATGACCACGACGTGATCCTGGGCCAGATCGACCAGTTGGCGTATGGACCCGACGTATCCGACACGAATCCTTTTTCTTTTGGGTGGGAACGTGACGGCCGCCGGAAACCGGATGTCGGCAACGGCTCTGACGAAAAACCGTTCTTGGTGGGTTTAACTACGAAGCGCTTGCTGCATAATGCAGCCCGCGATCCCGGAACATTCGTGCTCCACATGGATGCCACCTTCAAGCTAAACCAAGTGGCGTATCCTGTCATCGTCTGTAGAGTGTCCGACAGATGTCGGTCCTTCCACTTGGT